GAGTCTTGAACATACCATTTGAACTACCAAGAAAACAAACAGGTCTGTCCTGGAGAGGGTGAAGCCAAGTTTCTCTTTGGAGACTAGGGTTTTAAAGCTCCATCTCACATAATTTGGGCACATGGCCAGGAGAGACTGGTCCTTGGAGAAGGACATCATGCTCAGAAGGGGAGATGGACAGCACAGGGGAGGAAGACTCCAGATGAGATGGATTAATACAGTAACTGGGGGAGTGTGTCGGAATTAGTGAGACAGGTTCAGGACAGGGTAGGTTTCAGAGCCGTTTTACATAGGGTTGCAATGGGTCACAGGAGACTTGATAGCACATAACAACAACATCACTGCCCTAAATAATTACTCAGAGGGTTCTTTCCCTTTTCTGCTTTAATTTTCCCAGTTATCAGAACCATCAGAAATGTGGCTTCTAAATGACTGGTCTCTCTGCCTCTCACTTCTTTCCAAGATTTTGTACTGGTCCAAAGAGAACGCAACCTCAAGAGACTCTGTGTGCCTTTGGTTTCGCATAAACCAAAGACTGGCCACTGTGCCCTGGGATTATTGAAATGTCAAACATTTTCATTCTAAACTCACACATCCTTGACAATGAGCTCCTTCCTCAAAAGATTATATGTGGACAGTATGGGGAAAGTCACCATTCATTTATTTATCTATTCACCTACTTTACAATTAATACACATTATGGTTGACGGAGTAGAATGGTGGATGGGGGGGGGGGTCCATGTAGGAGAATAAACTAGCTTTCCCCTGAGCCAAATTCTGTTTCTTCTTTTTCCTGTTTTTGGTCCCATTGATTCTGAATCCACTCATAGCTGACCTTCCAGCAGATTTTAGTTGGGAGGAGACTGTCCTTTCTTCTGTGGAGCATCTGGTGAATTTAAACTGAGTGCCTTTGGGATCACAGTGTTACTCCTTAAAACTAAGCTTGTTTAACACTAGATCCATGTGAAGATATATCTGGACAGATACTACCCATGAGGAACGTTTTGTAGAATCACTCCCACTCTCCTTCTCCTCCATGTTTGACATTCACTCTCATTATCCATGTATAATTAGAAGCCAAAATTCATACACTCAGTATTTTTCTTGTGTGATTAAAATCTATCAGAATCATCCATTTATAATTAAAATCAAAATCTATTTACTGAGACCAAGGAACTCACTGGGGGGAAAAATAGATTTCTTTCTACAGAGACTTTGGTTCAGTCCCATGTGGTCATTTGATTTGGTCCCGTGTGGTCATTTAATTCTCAATTATGTAGTTTAAGGATTGATTCTTCCATGCCATTCTCACACTAACAGGATTAATTACCCCACGTGCTCTATCATTTATTACTCTTTTTGAAATCACAGTCATAAGCCAGTGATCAGCTCCATTATGCTGGTTGTATGTGGCAACACTAGTGAAGATCTCTTTACACTTCGAATGTTCCTTAAATCTCCATGCACTGGAATTTCAATGTGTGAAAATAGATTTCAAAAATTGTTCTAATAAAAGCATAACATACTTGTTTCCACCACGGTTGTGAAATATTATATCTAGTCCCACAAAAATGACGAGGAATAATGCAGCAGCTGACAATAGTAAATCTACTAGACATGCTTTTAAGTTGTATTTTTCAACTTTTTTAATTTCCCAAGTGAAATTGATATAGCAAAATAAAACAGTAAGAGTGTGGTCACATGCTAAAGAGATTCAATTCCTAAGACTGATAGTCTCCAAACATTGAGAACAGTAACCTCAGCCAGAGCTGGGACTGGGAGAAGTTCAGTCCTCAATGTCCTGGAAATGGATTAAAGATAAGAGAAAGGATAAGGGTGGGAGGACAGCACATAGTTGTTGCAGAAGATCAAGGACTACCGCCTTCAGTATCGATTACATCTCAACAGGAATGGGGTGTCCTCACAAGAGGAACAACAGCCAACATTGCGATAAATGGAGAGAAGATTAAAGTTACCCATGATGCCATTCTGCTTGGATCAACAATCAATGCTCTTAGGACCAGCAGTAAGAAAATCAGGAGACATTGTACTGAGTAAGTCCACCTGTCAGGGCACTCTCCAAAATGCTGAAGAAAAATGATGTCAGTTTGAAGATGAAAGTGTGCCTGACTTGGGCCATGGTCTTCTTAATCACTGCTAAGTGTCAGAGAGTTGGACAATGACTAAGGATAACAGAAGTAGAAATGGTGCCTTTGTGTTATGGTGCTGGAGCACTGTGTATCCCATGGATTTCCAAAAGAACAGATTTGTCTTGGGAAAACAGTCACTATGGGAAAATACAAAGTGCAGATTTACGATTCACAGGGTTGCTATGATTCATAGGTGACTCAATGGCACCTAACAACAATGGCAAGCCTTCAAAACTGTCAGAAAAGTTTGGAGAAGTTTGTTACAATAAGCCTAGAAATCTAGTACCTAGATAATCTCACAACCTCCATGTGCCTTGATTTCCTCCTTTACAAAAGAAAAATGCTAATTATATAGATGCTGAGAGGAATATATAAGTTAGAGTGTCAAAGGAGTTTATGATTATTTCTCCTGTAAATATTTCCGTTATTATTTCTTCACAATCAATTTTAAGTATGTATGTATTCATCAGGCTTACTCGTGATATCAATTACCACTCCAGTGTTAGTGCCAAGCATTGTACCTGGCACACTTAAACCCTCATTAAATACACAGTGGAAAGGAGAATGAATGAATGAATGAGTGAAATAGCAGTGATATCTTCTCATGAAGTTGTTGTTATGTGTTACTGAGTAGGAACCCACTCAGCTGGCCCTCTAGCAGATTCTCTGAGGCTGTAAATTTCAAGGGAGGAGAAGGGCCCATCTTTCTCCCACAGAGCAGCTGGTGGATTTGAACCACAACATGCTTTTGGGTTGCCAGTGCTGCTCCTTTCCAGTAGGTCACCAGAATAAAGAAGTAAAATAAGCAACAAAATATGAGAGTTTTAAATAAAAATTCAAATGACTGTTGGAGATGAGAATGGAGCCTGGCACACATGCTTCCTAATGACAGTGAAAAAAACTGAAAACCCTGAGAACTCAAGAGAGGGGAAGAAACGGGGTCTTGAGGAGTTTTTCTAGATTCCACATCCAAACCGACTGCCATCAAGTGGAGGCTAACTCGTGGCAACCGACATTTGGCACAGCAGAACTGGGCTCCGCTGAGTTTTCATTGATTTTTCAGAAGTAGATCCCTCAGGCCATTCTTCTGAGTGGACTTCAACCCCCCAATTGTCCAGTTAGCAGGCAAGCAAACTCGTTAACCATTTGGACTGCCCAAAGCCGGCCACTATGAAAACAGTCTTCAATGCCTAAAAGCTTGTTTAACCTAACTTCTTTGAGAACACAGCTGTCAGGTATGCAGCTTCATCTGTCCACACGACACTCTAAGTAAAAGGTACAATTAGAAGTGAAGTCTATGCTTTGTTGAGCTTCCATTTCTTTATTAATAATAAAGTTCTTTATTAATAATACATTCACCAGTTCCCCCAAAAAAGCAGTGTTGGGCAAGTTTTCATAACTGTTTATTCATTATAAATAGTAAATATTTACTGCACTTTTTTACATGAAAGACATTTTTACAACACATTGTTGTTGGTTGAGGCTGCAACACAAAGAGTACTTCTTTTGCTCCGTCACCCTCTACGACCAATGCATGAACTAATTTCGGTACTATGTCTACTCTCACTAACTCACTACGTCATAGTTTTTAACTCTACAAGGAATGTATTTGTGCCTACCTCACTCATTGTTCCAAAAAGAGAGAGCAATAAATAACACTGCCTTCCACCGTCTCGTTCCTCTTTAATATTTTCAAGAACAAATTTATTGACATTCTAAAATGTCACCGCCACACAGACATCATGTAAACCTCAGTTCTTAGAGTCTTTTCATATTGGATACTGTTGTATAATTTAAAAGCACATGAGGGCCACGAGGACATTTCTGTTCTTGCCCTGCCTTTCAGAGAAAAGAGCAGACCAGACTGTAAACTTGATTCTTTCAAAAACATTGCTATCAGGCATGATTCTCTAATCAAAAGAAGTGAGTCAGGTGTTGGTTGTCCAGCAAATGGGGAACATCTCTGCATGCTAGCACATGATTACCGGCCTGCAAGGAGAAAAAAAAAGCACCTGCAAAGATCCCCTTCAGATTCTGTTTCTAGCGCTTGGCTATGGTCAGAGCATCTGTGAGGTACACAGTATTGCACACTGTTAAGCAGTGATGAGAATGCACAGAGCCTCTTGACCATGCCTTTCCCGTGCCCCCGCAGACTGGCTTCCAAACACATATGAATCGGCAGATCATCACACACAGCTCATCCCACGCCAAAGACAGAAAAGCGGCTATTTTTCATGCGGTCCCATATCCTGTGAGCAAGATGTGTACGTGACATATATTGGCAACTGGATTACAAAGGAGGATAAGAGAACACATAATTTATCTGGGAATTCTTTTACATCTAATCTAGCTTCCTAAAAAGAAAACTGGTGGTATTAAGTTTTAAGTAAATTTTCAGTGTGTGGAAAATTAAAAGTCCTCCAACTTCATAAGGAAGTTTTACTTTTATAGAAATGTTAGCACTGTACTTTTAAAAAAAAGTTACACTTTATAGTATTTGCCAACGATATTTGAGAACATTCTGCTTGCCCAAGCCAATTCAGGTACATCTTAGACACACACGCCTGCGCACTCACACACAATGGAATGTTCTAGCGCCTTGTTCTTCCTCAGCACTAAGGGCTTAGGCTATTTTGATATGTAGCCGTGTTAAACCAATGCCTTAAAAAGCTGCTTTTGCCTCTTATCACTCCAGGTCTTCCTCTTCTCAAATGGTTTTGTCCAACATATTCAAAAGAATCTGAAAGCACCCACTGGAGAAGAAAAAATAAAGCAATCACTCTCAAGCAGGGACTGCCCCCCGAAGGGAGAGAGTTTGTTCTGAGAAGACTCTTCATGTCTAGATTGTGGAGACCAGAGACAGGGCCCGTGATAGCTCCAAGTGGACAGTTCACTTACGCAATATCTGGCTTGAGATAATGAAAGGCACCTGGAAGGAAACAGACACAGCTTTTTAAGTCCAGCTGGGCGATTCACAGCAGGGGCAGTATCAGCTACAGGCTGACAATGTCATATTTAATACCGTGGTATCAAAGGACTTCGACTAATATTTTTATTCCTGAGACAAGTTTGACACAACTCTGTGTCCCTGGGATTATACCCCATCTGATCCTCAAGCTGACCTCATTAAGAACATGTGTTTCTAATGCCGAGGGTTATTTCATTTTGGCCAACCTCTATGTTTTACCTAGTGGCAATCAGGTTTCATGTCTCAGCAATTAATAACCTCAAGATGTTGTTGACATCAGTTAAGAAAATAATTATACAAGGGAGCCCTTGCTGGAACAATCAGCTGGCTTTGCCACAAAATTGAGACGGGGTAAAAGGCTTAACCATGCCTCTCACTTCCCTTTCTCAAGGAAGTGTTGAAATTCAACTGCCATCCTTCCTTCTGGGAGGGGTCATCCCTAAAAAGTCCAAGGCTTACTTTGTCCATATTGCCCATACTGGTAGCCTGTGACGGGGTCCATACTGTAGCCCGTGGTGCTATATGTGGGGGGACAGTAGGACTGAGATGTTGGTAGACTGTCCAAGCTCTTCATATGGTCTAGTCTCTGACTGCAGCTGGCCGACACCGTGGTGGTAGGTTCCAGGCCTCCCGTGAGAGGAGACAGCGCATAATCGGTCTGCGGCTGATGAGGTACCCCTCCGTGGTTGGTCAGAAGTCCCATTACCTACAATCAAGGAAGAGATTGGAAAGAGGTTAATATGCAGGGTGGGAGAGATTGCAGCCTTGTAGCTGAAAGAATTTACGAGTCCAGTATTTGTACTTTCTAAAAATCTACTTTTCTAGAGCTGCCCAGAAAACTTGACCAAAACTCAAAAGTGGCTATCTATGAGTGATTGTTATGAAGCACAATGTAAGTGAAAGATTGCATATAACACAATGTGTATGAAAGGGGGGGGAGGGCAGGAAGTGGCTGAGATAGCTCATCGTGTCCCAAAAAAGAACATCTGAAAAAAAGAAGAGAGGCAGGAAGAGACACAAGTTAATCTTCTACAAAATTTCCTTAAAAATATTGATAAACTGAAGGGGTTGAGGGAGGAATCCAGCAATGTGACTGAGCATAATCGTGCTTTATTGAAGACTTGGAGAAAGTGAAAGAAGTCACAGGATGTGTGTACAGTCAAGGAGTCACAACCCCAGGCAGATGGAAAGCCATTAGAACATGCTGCTGGAAAGAGAGAAGAGAGAGACTTCGTGGTACAGAGCTGAGCAGGCAGCCCAGAGACTCGGGATTCAAACCCGCCAGCTGTTCCGCTGGAGAAAGATGGGCAGTCTCCAACCCACGCAATTCACTGCCTCAGAAAGCCAGCTAGAGGGTGAGCTATGAGTCAGCTCGACTCTTCACATAACAACAAAGGCACAAAGAAACAACGGGACTTCAAGAAAAAGAGAGAATCTAGAGGGAGAGAGAAGAGGAAGGAAAAAGGGTAGAAATTATGGCAGGAAGTTGCACTGCAATCCTAGCGGCACACAGTTCGAAGCCACCAGCTGCCTCGTGGGAGAAGGATGGGCCATCTCCTCCCGCGCCAGTAAGTAAGTGCCTCTGAAGACCTGCTGGAGAGTCACCTGTGGGTCAGTTCTGACTCAATAGCACGCATCAACCACAACATAGAAAAATGTCGTTAAACGTATCCATCATACACATATATTAAATTACAATGTACATATTATATATACATATTACCCCTTGAAATTTTACATGCAACTTTAAATAAGTATTAACTTATATTAAAAAATAAGTCAAATTAGTTCAAATGAAATGCTTTCACTGTGTTTTTAGATCCCAGTAACTTTTTTTTCTATTGTTTTAAATTCATTTTAATGAAAGTTTACAGAGACGAGACTTAGGGTTTCCAGTCATTCATTGTTGAAATCCCTATAACTTTTTGCATAGGTCTCCTCTCAAGACAGCTCCTCTCCCTGTTAGAAATAATAAGTGCTCCCTCCTGGATTGGCCCTTGCGCTTCCTACATCCCTCCCACTGTGCAGTCAGCAGTTCGCCACCTGCTTTGAATTGTGAGCACTTTGAAAACAGCCACTTACTCGTTTTTACACTGCTGGCACCTAACAGAGGTTGAAACATACTAGCTGACGAATGAATGATAAGTAATTCTCTGAGCAACCATCTCCCTTATGGTCCTTTGATCCTTCTTAAAACTCATATATCATATATGAAAAGTGTTAGAAGGAAAGGAGAGCTTGAAATGCAAGAATGTGATAACATGTCAGTTCTGTTCTGTAAATAATCCTTAGAATAAGACAACTTTTTTCTACAGCAATTGTGTCAACAGGACAGTTTCTGCTAGCCCAGTGGTGAAGCGTTTCACAGACTCCAGCTCACTGACCCTTACAGCACCTTGTAGACCTAAGTGGATAATTAATTCTGCAGCTGGACGACTGCCACAGGAGAAAGGAAGTGATTTCCTCAACTTCATACACTCAGGGCTTTGATGCAATTGTAGGGGGTGGGGGGAAATCTAAGCGCAGCTTGAGTGAACGGTCTCCAGAAAACACCACCTTTTTCTACAAAGCGTTTTAATGCACTGCACAAAATTTTCAGAATATCCCTGCTTTATTTTAAGAAGTTTGCAGCATGTGGAGATTAAAGTGTACAAATAAATCCAAGAGGACAGGGCAGAAATGAAAACCACCCTGACTGGGGGCTCTTGTGCCACTATAAGACAACACTCTCACTCAAAGGTAATTAAGGCAACAGGACCCCAGGTCTGGCAGTCCCAGCTCCGGCCCTCATCCTGCTTCGCAGAAAGCATCTGAAATCAGATTCTAAAAACAATAACCCCACAATTCCCTTTGGGTAGGGTTTGCATAATCCTTCCAGCTAAACAAAATCTTCTTGAACTAAAGCTTTAAATGGATCCATCTTTAATGAATGAGCCCCAAGAGATCTCTCTACGACAAAAATAAGAGAATCTGCTCACCACCTTCTCTGAATGGCTCTCCCTGCCTCCACTTGAACGCACCACTTGTTTCTCTTGTCTTGTCTCATAGGTCCTGTTTTCTATTTTATTTTCTCTCTTTCATTTGACCTTTTATATGTGTAGACAGGTGGAAGGGTGGGTTGGTATAGTCAAAGCCAACACTGTAAGAGCCAAATTTTGAATATTTTCTTGAGATGCCTGGTGAAATATATATATTTTAAAATTCCTAAAATTGCTTATATAGATTTTAAATAATATATGGTATAGTTTTGTATTATTGGAGAACTGGAGAAAGTGAAGGTCAAAACACTGATTCAGAAGCAGTAAGATTCACCGGAAGTTGGGACATCATCTGGGCAGCCAATTCCTGTAAGACTCGACCCAACACTGTGTATCATAAGTTAATTACTTCATTTTCTAATTTAAAAAAAAATGTACATAATCAGGAAAGCAAATCAGGCACTTCTGCATGCCCTTTCACCTGTATGGATTATGGACTTTTTTGGTATTTTAGTTGAGGCAGGTGACTTTGCTGTGTGTGCTTGGAAAATTCAGAAACATCCATTCATGAAATATTAACTTCTTAAATCTTTGACATCAGTGAAAAGGGTGCAAATCTATTAAGGAAAAAAGGAACTCTGGTGGCACAGCAGCTAAGTGCTGGGCTGTCACGTGATGAGTCAGCAGTTTGAATCCAGCATCTGCTATGCTGTGGCATTCCACTTCCCTAACAGTTTACAGCCTGAGAGACCTAGGGGGACCCTTGTAATCTGTTCTTTAGGGTTGTTATGAGACAGAATAGGCTGGATGAAAATAAGTATTAGAAGAAAAGAAAGTGTCTTTATAATAAAGGCTATCCAGTGCCAAATAACATCACTTTCCAATCAAAGACATCTCTTCTTGGAGAAGAATGAATAGAATATTCCATTTATAAACACAATCTTTATTTTTTTAATGAAAGAGAAGTAATGATATAAGACACAAATCTTATGCTACTAATCAGCTGGGCCATGTAAGACATAAGAAGCTGGAAGGTAATTTACAGTCCAACAGCAAAAATCTTGTGCTGGTGGGAGAATAGAAAGATAGATAGATAGATAGATAGATAGATAGATAGATAGATAGATAGATAGATAGATAATTAGTTGTTAGGTGCCGTTGAGTCAGAACCCACTCATTGCTGATTCCCCAGCAGGTTTTCAGAGGCTGTAAATCATATGGGAGGAGTTTGCCCATCTTCCTCCCACAGAGCAGCTCGTGGATTCAAACCACATGCCTTTGGGTTGGCAGCTCCTTAATACTAAGCCATTAGAGCTTCCTATGTCCATATTTTTTTTTGCATTCCAAAAAAAAAAAAATATATTATATATATATGGACATGGGAGTGACTGGAATGCAAAAGTCGGGAACAAAGAGGAAGATTCAGTAGTTGGAAAACATGGACTCGGTGACAGAGATGGATCTGGAGAGAGAGTGATCGAGTTTTGCACAATCAATGACTTATTCATAGCAAATGCCTTTTTTAAGAGGCATAAACGCAGGTTATATACCTGGATTTCACCTGATGGCATGCATAGGAATCAGATCGATTACATATGTGGAAAGAACCGCTGG